AGTAAAGGTAGAGAGAGAGAGAGAGAGAGAGAGAGAGAGAGAGAGAGAGAGAGAGAGAGAGAGAGAGAGAGAGAGAGAGAGAGAGACTTCCAAACGAAGTGGAAGATGTAAGTAAAGATTAGTGGAACACAACAAAAGATGCGATTGTCACGTTCAAACATAAACCTTATCTGCACTATTCTTGTATGCAAACTATGCCGACAATAATATAGCCCATTACAGTCGGGCTAGTGTAAGATCTTTGGAAAGATGAGTGGATAGGGTCAGGGAGTGAGGTGGGATGGGGTTGTCACGGTTGGAAATGTTCAGCTGTTGTTCTTCCATGCTGACATACTATGTACATGTAGCAATAAGTGATGAGTTGTTTGAGGGGGGTTGAGGGTAAGGTGGCGTCGGTGGCCTTGTGGTTATGCAACGGGACTCGCATTCCCGAGGTTGCGTGTTCGGGGTTCGAGCCGCGGACCCGACGTTGTGTCTTTGGGAAAGACACTTAATACGAATTTTCTTCACTTCACCCAGGTGAGAATGGATACAACGGCCATAGACAATGAAAGATCTTATCAGTATGTTTGTGTTTTAGCGCCTATAAATGGCTGCTTGCCCAGTATGCTTCCCAGGAAGTTGAGGTTGTTTCAGAATGCTCTCAGGTCTGCTGGGGTAATAGTATAGATTTTGAAATGCAGAGAGCTTGCTGTTGAATGGGGATTTGCGCTATACAATTGCTATCTATTATCTATTATTATTACGATTATTACTTTTGTGTTGTACTTTTTTTCCATATCTTTCCGTTATTGGATAGGCTTCCAACAAACTATTTGCAGTACTTTGTCATCCTTTTAAAGGCAAAGTACTCCTTTTAAAAAACAAACAAGCTAAAAAAAACAACCTCATGAACCCGAGAACGTAGAACTCTGCCTAGGATTTGACTCTTAAGGAAAAGGTAAAAATGATATGTTTTAAACAAGTCCTCTGAACGAAGGTTAAAAATTGAGAACATTTTTGGTTATTGTTGTTCTTGAAGAAAAGGACAATTGAACCAGAAACCAGTGTCAAACACACACACACACACACACACACACACACACACACACACACACACACACACGCACACACACGCACATACACACACACATACACACACACACACACACACACACACACACACACAAATACACAGAAGAATTCTAAATCACATGGTATTGCCTAACAAAGTGCTTTTTTATGACCAAGTCACGCAATACGACTTTTACACTACATATTTCCTCAGGAACGAGTCGATTTATTCTGTTGATATCACATTGGACTGTGTTGTCGATGGTCCTGGTTCGAATACTTGACTGGGATATTTATCCAATATCCGCCATTTAATCACCTCTACAGTGCAGACATTTTCCTGAAAGAGAAATGATGATGTGGAAACGATATACTAATAAAACATTCAAAGGGAATCGGGAAAATCTATTCTCTCTGCTATAATTCAAATAAGGTATTTCACTCGAGAAAAGGGTTAAGTGACGACCAGGGTTGACTCAGAACCTGTCGTTTGAAATACCGAGAGTTTAGAAACACTTTATGTGCATTTAAGAATTTTTTACGAGGCTACAATTAATTAGCAAAATTACTCGAGGAATTTACTGGAGAAAGTTGCACACCTTGATCAATGTGTGGGACAAAAGCTATTATATTATGGTTTCAGCTGCTGTCTGTATTGATATCTGCTTTTCACCCGTTCCAAACGTCCATATATATCTGTGTTTGCTTTTAATTTTCTCTATTATAGCAAATCATTCCATCTCGTTCAAAAACTGCGCTCTGAGTTCTTGTGCTAAAAAACAAAATCAGAAGAAAGCAATATGATGGGAACTTTAGGGCTAGAAAAAGCTCATTCATTTTCTTGTTGATCTAGAGAAGTTGAGCGACGCTTGAAAAGACAGATCGCGTGGAATGTCGACCAGATAATATTTCGTTGTCTTTCAGGTTTTCTTTTTTTCTGGGAGGGGAGGGGGGGTGGCCTCTGAAACGAACTTCGGTTAGTTTGTTTACATATTATTGTAGAAGTTTAGAGTGATTTCAGACGTACAACAGACAGTTTTGAAATCTGAATTCTTGTAGTAATGTGTTACAGTATGTACGGAACACCCACTTCATTTTTCCGAATTTATTTTTCTCCACGAATTGACAGAGCCATGTGGGGGAGCGACTTGAAAATTTCCCAAACAACCCAAATTCAAGAACGCCTTCATGAGGATTCGAGCAAGGGTCATGATGGATCATACGCTTCGTAGCTCAGCACGATGCCAACTGAGTCAACGGCATTTCCAAGGAGTCCTGGTTCCCAAATAAGTTGAAAGTCCATCTTCAGTTGTGTAAAATGTCCCAGTTCTAGGGAGAATGTAACACTTCTTACCTCTGGAAACTGTATTCTGAACTTCCGCGAGTAGTTCAAGTTCGAAACTTACTCGTATAATACTACAGCAAAACTCCATTGTTGTATCTAAGCTGATGAAGATTACTTTTTTCATCTTATGCTTCTGAATATTCCACAGCTTCCTCACGTTTAGATCATGGGGCGCCTTCTTATTCGGCATCATTGAGATCTTCGTGTCGTCAGCGGTGACGTACTGTGACCAGGCCTCCTGGCAAAGCAGAATTGCAGCCAAGCCAGTGCAGGTAGCGTAATGTGTGTGTGTGTGTGTGTGTGTGTGTGTGTGTGTGTGTGTGTGTTTGACTGTGTGTGTGTGTGTAAGTGTGTATGTTTGTGTGCACGTGAGTGTGTGTGTGTGTGTGTCTGTATTTTTGTGTGTATGCGTGTGTACATGTGAGTGTGTGTGTGTGTGTGTGTGTG